CCACGTCCACGGTTCAACTTTGGAAATGATCATGCAGACAATGGACCCCGGACTAGGTGCGTTCCTCTAAATCTTCCTATCAATATGACCATGTTGCGAAAATAAGGTCAAACAACCCCTATACAACGAAAGGAGACTGCGACCACACAAAAGGCCACACCATCTTCGTCTTATACCTTCGAAGGCTATGTGAAATTTAATGGAAATGTAAGGTCCACTCATATTATTGTGGGAAAATTAAACTACCTGTCCCCTTATCATGTTAAACAAAATAGACTGAATACATTTCATATTAAATGATCTACTGGTAGTCTAGAAGAACCTACATATAAATAAAATATTAAGATCTTTTATTTATATTCATATAGGGTAGGTACTTAAGATCTGTACCTGTGCATGTTCGCTGAATGCTTAATCGGCAAAATCGACATGGTCAAATTTCTTATTTATTTTCACATTGAAAGTAATATAGCCAGTTTTAAAATTAACTTTATCTGGAGTAAAACCCTTCTTAAGACTCGGTAAAACATGGCCTTGTGCCTTTTTCATGATAGAAGAAACAGCCGCAATCAATGGTTTGTCGAGGTCGGCGGACGATCCTCTGAGGATTAATGCGATCAAAACCACACTAGAGCTAAGTATACTTAGAGCATCTCCGAAGCGATCTCCTCTCGAATTTAGGAGACTCTGATTTATTACTAAATCAGAAATGAATTCGAATAAGTTAGAATCATTCTTAAAATATTTTTTTAAATGCAAAAGGCTGAGTCAAATTATTTTATGAAAGCAAAATCGAGGTATCAATAAATAATCGCCTAGGAAAGACACTTTACTGCTGGAACAACGATTTAGTAGCCAAAATATTGATGAAATATTGCTTAATACCAAAAGTCTATTATTAAAGGACTGCTTTTGTAGATATATATGAGTGAACTGTTTATTGGGAAATGAGCATAAACTTGCGTGGCTTATTCGCTAGAGTTTAATGAAAAGGGACAAGAATTGCCCTTTTTCATAAAAACTCAACTTTTGATCGTTTTGTGACTATAAGAGGCAAAAAAATTAAAGGAAAGTATACTATTAATGATCTACTGCTAAGATCAAAGTTTTGAGTTACTGGATTTTGTTAGGCAAACTTCCTTGAACTACCTACCTTGAAGAGATAAAAGCATAAAAAGTTTTGCTTGAACGCGAAGCACCGCGACAACTACTAGCACCGATAAAAATTCTAACTGCTGGGACGTCATTCAGGTCATTTTAGTGCGTAATATTTAGTTTGTCAAATCCTGCAATCTTTTATATATTTTATTCCGGCTTAGAGTCACGTAAAAGTTATCGAATTGAACAGTCGAAAGTCAAAAAGGTAAAGAATAAGAAGAAGTGATTTGGGGGAATTCGATACAAGACGACCATTTAATCTGGAAAAAAAACTTTAAATAAAATAAAAAATAACTCGCCACCTCTGGATAACTTAAAAAAAAACCCCACGGACACGTTAAACCTTGTGTATTTTGTTAGTATATTGTTAATACCAGGACTCCGGTGAATGTTAATAGTTACATTATTTGGAAGTATAAACTGGTAAAGAAATAAAAGGCAAAAGTAAGGATGCAGAGCTTTAAAATTTAAAGGGTAACTATTTTGCTTAGTATTCAAAATGCTAAAATTTGATTCCACAGACAATAAAATGGCAGACTATACTCGATTACTTACTCAGGTCACAGTCCATGGGCAAATAATTCGGAGGAGGCTCGAAACATTTATCATGCTCGCCAAGAGTGCTGGTAAGCTCTCGTTCGCTGTCCACCAAAATGAAAAGGTAAAGGGGGAAAAAGGATAGTTTAAACTTCGAAAGGATCTCCGTTATTGCTCTATTAAATTGTTTAGCTTGGACAGGCTTAAGATTAAGTAGTGACTTCGTTACAATCGCCGAAATGTTGGCTATTTTAGAAGATCTGATAGGAGGCAATGTAAGGAACAATATTTTTTTAAGGTGTTCATTTTTGAGCAGATTTAGTGAGACTTGGTACCGATTACAGCAGGACAAAGAAGACAATTTGTGGTGCTAAGACTGGCAAGTTTCACTAGCGATGCCAACTACGATGCCGGTGAGATGTCTGGGAATGCACCAAGTCTACGGTCTGACTCTGGAGATTGTCATGCATATTATGGAATCTGGACAAGGTGCGTTCCTCTAGGTCTTCCAGCCAATATGACCAAGTTGCGAACACAAGATCACACAACTTCTATACAGCGAAAAGAGACCGCGACCATACAAAAGGCCACTCAATCTTGGTCTTCTTACCTTCGACCAGTAAATTGAATGTCTGAAAAACAGGCAGATGGACCGATTTTTTGGTTGACTGACCCGTCGACCAGTAAGTGCAGCATATATTGGTACCAGAATGACAAAGCAGTGAGCTAACTGAAAAATACTTTTCATGGCGAGTAAAAACTATGCAAGAGATAAATTTTAGATTTCCAAGAAGATAACTTGGAGGGTACTCACTTGGAATGCTTATGATCCAGTAGCGCTGCGGTTCTTTCTTCAACAGCAACTGTTGCGATCTTCTTCGCCGTCTGTGTAGTCATGGCAATTGTTGTTGGTGCCATCACACTCGACTCAGCTTGCTGACTCTTACAGTGAACCCGCACTTCTGCTAGAACAATTACTTGAGGAAGATCTAGTTCTGACTTATCCCGCTGCTGCAAATTGCCTAGCTTGTTAAGGTTTCGGTTTACAACTGCTAAAGGAGCACTGTATGATTCCAGCAACGAGTTTGTAGCATGTTTATTCACAAGAAGAGATAAATTAGCGCACGAAAATGTATCAGCAGGAGAAATAGAGTCATCTTGATGGCGGCTCAGATTGTCATTGTGGGACACTAAAGAGCATGCTGTAAAATCATGAAGAGTTGTTGGTGTGTCCGATTCTGTGGAAATTGAGGGACGGCTGGCCTGAGACAGAAAATGCGATTGGAGATTGGCCAAAGATAATTGAGAGGAGCCAGTTGCAGCATGCTGGAGGTCTGCCAATGGCACTGGTAAGTTTGGTCCTGGCCTCGTAGGGACAG